AAACTTTAAATATTTATAAAATAAAAAAAATATATTAATATATCTTTTCTATAAATTTTGAATATAAATAATAAAAAAATTATATTAATTTATAATAAAAATAATAATATTAATATATATTTAATTTTTCTTTTTTTTTTATAAATTTATTTCGTTTTTTTCAGTTTTTAAAATATATATAGATATATATATTTATTAAATATATATATATATATTTAATATATAATATATAAATTTAATGTATATTTTTTTTGGTTTTTAAATTTATTTCCTTTTTTTTCGGTTTTTAAAATATAGATAGATATATATTTAATATATATTTATTTCGGTTTTTTAAAATATATTTTAATATATATTTATTTAATATATAGTTTATTTTCGTTTTTTTTAGAAATGAATTAAAAATTGAATTTTTTATTATTTTTTTTAGTAAGGGCCAAAAGGTATTATTTGGGTGCTGTAATTAGTAAAATTGGGTGCGGTGAATATTAATTAGTAAAATTGGGTGCGGTATCGAAAAATTAACCAAATATTTTATTTTTTTGAGTAATTTGTACATCTATAAGTGAAAGACTTGTTGGATTTATTATAATTGGAAACTTTTTTTTCGGTAATATTTGGTTAATTTTTCGATACTAGATGTTAGTATAATTTAAAGAAAAATGATTTTTGTGTTTCTTGATTTTACGTATGAAACGGAAATCTGAATGTATTTGATAGTAAAATCTAATTTTTTCCTTACCTTACATATTAGGTTTCTATATCGATAAATTTAAAAAATTGATCGAATTATCTATGTTATTCACTTTGAAATATATAAAATTGAAAAACAATAAGAATAAGTCGTAATTTTTTTGGCAAATTTAAATATTTTTAGTACGTATCAATTTGTAATAATTCGTAACATTCTTGGTTTCTTTTTTAGCCAATTTTGAATAAAAAAAAATAAAACATTTATCAATTAATTGAAAACACATAAACATCTGCCTTACTCGATATTCCTTTTTTTTTTAAAAAAAATTGATTTTATAAATATTCATTTACATTATTATTTAAAACAACATATACTAATATTCATTTCCTCTATTTTATGGTCACTTCAAAATAATATGTATATTATAAACGTTTGCAACTTGAGGGTTAAAATTTAATGTAGAACTCAAAAAGATTTATGATTTTTTTTTTCTCAAAATTACTTTCTATTAATCAATTTAAAATATGTTAGACTTGAAAAACTACTAAAACACAGCTGTACATAAAATAGGGCGGATTTTCATATCTTTGGTACTGGAGTCATTTTCAGCTATTTTCCAACTAAAATGATTCCTATTCGTAAGAGGTTCATTTTCAATGAATTAGTATAGATTGGAAGATATCCTATCCTTAAAAAAAAAATGCTATATTTTTTGATTTTTTTTAATAATGTCTTGTACATCATTGTTTTCCTAATTCTTAGAAAATAAACCTAATAAACAACATTCATTTTTTGTGTCGATATCACTAATACGGAACCAATGCGATGCACGGGGTGAACAGTTTTCAGGTAATTTGCTCAATATTTTTTTTATTATTTGTGTGAATAAAAAATACAAAACAAAATAGAAAAAAATTATATATTATTAAAAACCTCTTTGTGCACAACATTCTTTGTTTGCTTTATAGGCAAACCATCCTCACCACAAACTAAAATTTTCAATCCCTTTCGATTAGTAACACGGGAAACAGCTACGTATAATTGGTCGTGACTGAAAACCGACTTCTTCAAGAATACGCCAACGTGTGATAAAGATTGACCCTGACTCTTGTTAATCGTCATGACATAAGAAACCATTAGGGGAAACTGCCTCAGCTGAAATTTGAAAGGTATTCTAACATCGAAAGGTGTTAGAGTCATCAGAGGTATCGACACCTTCTCCCCTGCATTGGATCCAGTCAACACCTTACATTCAAGCACATGACTGGAGAGCTTCGTGACCACCAATCTCGTGCCATTGCACAACCCCACAGAAGGATCAATGTTCCGCAACAACATTACTGGGGTTCTTATCTTAAGATGCAATTCATGGCTCGGCACTCCAGAACATTTGATACTATTCAAAAACTTGGGGGTGTGGAGATCAGACAACAAATCATTATTGGAATCATATTTGCACGTATTATTAGAGCTCAAGTATGTTAGACCATCAATGAGGTTCAAAGAAATCATGTATTCATTGATAGACCCAACCATATCCAACGTTAGGGCTAGTATAGCCCTATCCTTTAAATAACAACTATTAGTTTTGAGGTCCTAAGGTTTTAAAAGGTACAGTGTTATTTAATTAGTGTATCCACATCACATTCGATAAGTCACAACCAGCTACATGTTGACAATGTGTAAACAAATAAGCTTGCATGATTCAAAAGTAATAATATATATGGTTGATCGTAGAAATACCTGGTGACGTGTTTTCACTATATGGTCTTTCTTTTTGCACACTGCTTAGATTTGTCAATCGACTGCGTTTTCTAGCGTTTTCTGTTATCACATAATACAAAAGAAAACACATAAGATTTGAGTCACCTTTGATAATCAGTGAAGTATCTATTGGTATATTTGAAATGTATATTCTTTATGGGAAAATATCGAGTATCCAACTGTTTATTGGCTGAAACTATGTCATTTTATATGAGTTTGTGTAAAACATTGTCAAGTGTTCATTTATTGTTCATTTATTGTATCCAGCTATTTGTTTTTTACAAAACTGGGGTGAAGTTTACTACAGCAAAGGTATGTTCATTACTAATCTGAATTGTTACATAAAAATCAATAGTTATTTGTTATTGAAATTACCTTGCACTGGATTTTCACTATTTGCTGATTTTCTTTCCTTCATATTACTTGGTTGTGATTTCTGTCTTTTAGCATAGTCTCTGTCCATTGCACACTTGTGAAATTGTTTTTTCAAAGTTTCACCTACAGAAACTTGTTTTTTGCAAAGTAACATCAAAAAGCATTCATTATACACTAAGTATTATTTTTTCAAGTGGAACATATAGAAAAGACTGCAAATCAAATAAACTCTTGTACCTGTTTGTCTTCTTGTATGTGAGTTTGTATTGGGGTCTGTGATGTATGTTATAGACCACTAGCCATGATAACAATCAACTAAAACAAATGTCGAGTGCAACATTGTTTATCGTGCATTTTAAGCGAGCCGCCGACCTGTGGTGGCCATCGTCTACTTATATCTTGCGTATGAGGAACCGACCTGTGGTTGCCTATCGTGCTATTTTATGCCTTTGAATGGCCGAACGTACTGTTGGTATATAAATTTACATTTAACGATAAAAAAAAATCAACTAAAACAAATGCTCGAGTATAAGCAAAACTAAATGTTATAAACAAATGCTGTGAGTTCAGATTTTATTTATATGTATGACGACAAAGTCGTAATGGGCTGCAAGCATCTATTTCTTTTTTTTTAATTAATATTTATGATATAGAATTTATAATCATTCTGATATGATTATCATTATAATGATATCACATGTCAAAATAGTTAATATCTTAAATCTTAAATATTATTGAAAGATATGCATAACATAGGTGATTAGATATCCCCGTAGATAGTTGCATATATTTAATCTAAATAGAAAGAAAATCCACGTAAATATTATCATATATATGAATACTGAAAATTTTATAAACATATGTGCTATCTACGTAGAAAAATTACCTATCTATTTTGATAACTCACGTTTAAGCAGCTTTAAATATGATAAATCCTGTAATTCTAAACCATAGGATTCTAAAAATTTGCACAGACCCATACAATTTTAAAACTCCAGCATTTTATACTTTCAAGTCTTATTTATTATATGTACGAAATATCTATATAAGAGTGAATATATGATGTTAAAATTAGTTTAATAATTTCATTAATCTTTATCTACATAAAAAGGTTAATTGGATAAACATGTGAATCATTTTCAATTGGTCATAAACTCGTTGAATGTTGCCGCATATTTTGATTACATTGTGTTTATCAAAACATAGTGGCTAATTATTACTATTAATTTTTTACATTTATTTACGAACATATTTAAAAAAATGCTTAGTAAGACATTGAAGAAATTGCTTTAAGTTGCGGGAATTTTTTAAACATAGTTAATGTTGCGACTATTAGTGTCCATCAAAATTTAAGGGTTGAACAATATTTTAATTAGTCTGGATATTATATAGAACAATCTGATTAGTCTACCAATTACATTTAGTTTATTCTTTAACCGTGGAGATATAGAAATTTATTAAAATTCTTAGTAAGTAAATATTGCAAATAAATATAATAATAAAATGAAACTATATTCGTTCATTCGTTTTATTTATATCATAGTCAATTATGAAGAACCGACGAAGTTGTCGAAAACATATATAAAATTCTAGAAATATGAATTACCGAACCCAAAACAAATATGCTTATGAAAAACCAAAACATTAATAAATAGTCTAATAAATAGCCTTATACTTTTTATTCATCCACTTTTGTTTTTCCCTTTGCGTCATTGTCCGATTCTTTATAAATAACCCTCTATTCTTCCGCATTCAATTCCTCGCAAAGGTTGTCATTGATGAGTCCGCAATCAAGCTATGATTTTGTAAAAGCTTGTTAGACATAGAGATTTCCTCCTCAACAACAACATTAATCTAAATACATACTAATTTGTGAGTAAACATATATAATCACCAATAATGTTAAATAAAATAGAACTCTGTACATATTTAAATATTATATTGTACCATGTCATTGGTGATTTCTTCTCCTAGCAACCGAGTGATGAAATCAGATTCCTACACGAACAAACAAATGATTACAAAACCCGGATTTCAAAAAAAATTGAAACAAAAAAATATAGAAAAAACACTTCCCTAAAAAATATAGTTTATCGGATTTTATTTATTATACCTTGTCAGTTTCATAAATAGAATCAACTTGGGCCGAATCTTCAACTTCGTCATTATCAACATTTCTGCTATTGAATACCAATTGCACATTGCCCATATTGTCCTCATAGCACCTACAGTAAAATATGGATTATATGTCAATCATATATATAATCTTATCAAATCTTATAAAATTCATTGGTAATAGAAAAGCTCAACCTCCTCACAAATTCGCGAATTTCCGGAACGAATTGTCCAACAATTATCTTGGTGACATGCATCTCAATCGTCAAATTAACTTTAACTAAAGCATTGCAAAATAAAAATAATTCAATGACAAATTAAACATATGTATGATGTAGTGTATGTTATTTCAATACCTCCATATAGCGTGGTACTACATAGATGCATAATAATCACCAGTGGTAAGTGTGAAACACCATGTTTAGCTTCAATTTTCAGAATTGCATCAACATAATCACCCGAGAGAATACAATCAATTGTGTTCCTCCTAATCATTTTTTTTTAAACGGAACCATAGAGAGTATTTATAACAAAACGCACAAATGTGCAAAGATACAACCCGAGGTTGAATAAGACAACCCACAGCTGAGTAAAATGGGAGGACAAGTCTGACGACCGCCTAGAATTCCGACCCTAGCAACACTAGGAACCAAAAAAAGACTCGCAGAACAACAACACAAACCACAAAAACTACAAAAGAAAGCTCCCACAGGAGAATTGAGACAAGACCAGATCCCCACAGGATAATAAGTTGCTCCCGCTTGAACTGAGGCCAAAGGCCCAAACCAAAAAAAAACATAACACAAACACTCAGGCAAAGAACCCAAACCAAAAACACGATACTACCACATAAGACATCACAAAATCAACTAAAAACACACACAATCACAAGCCCTCCCTCTACAGCTACTGCTAACCAGACTAGCAGCCACAAAATCATTTAGTTAATTTAATGTAATTAGTAAAGCCATAGAATACACTTAATCAAAATTAAATTTACAAAATTACTTACTCAAGGTCTATAAGCTTGAACACAACCCCGTTAGTTTTTGCTCCATCAACTTCTATAAATTTGACCGGACAAACCACAAGATCAATGACATCTACACAATAAATAAACAAAGAAATATAGGTTAGTGTAAAGCTTGTATAAAGAAAAATGTTATCAATCTAAATATGATATGTAAATTGAATAAATAAATAAAATATTTACCAAATAAAATGGAAAGACCATGACGGACACCTCCAAGTCTTCAAAATTCAAATAGATAAAATGGAAAATAACCTTTCCACCTCACCAAAATAGTCATGCCGTGGACAATCATTTTGTATTTTGAAATTGAGAGTCGAAATGAGCTAACATTCGGGGCAACTTCGTAGTTGTTAATGCCGTAGACTTGCCTTTCTTTTACCTTGTCTACCCATTTGTTCACATCAGCCCCATGAATAATTCCGGTGAATCGTCCACCCTACAAAATATAGTTAGATGCAACATTAGTATTAAAGTTATTATATATATATATATACACGGATTGTAAAAAAATATTATATTCAACATCATATGTGCACGGATGGTAAAAAACGGATTGTACACACTTAGAAGACAATACATACAATAATATGTCCAATTTTCTAACATGTAATATGACAACAACATAAAATACACTTAGAAGAAAAACGGATTGTACACACTTAGAAGAAAATACATACAATAATATGTACACACTTAGGATTCGTATTATATATTATATATATATGAACACGGATTGTAAAAAATAAAATATATTAACATTACTATTAGTCTTAAAACTTTTATTATTTAGATAAGGACACAATTTGTAAACACAAAAAAATGAAACACACCTCTTCGTCATGGAATAGGATTTCCATGAAGTTTGTATCTTCAACATCGTATGTGCGAGCAATTGTTCGAATTACCCTCAACATTAAGCATGGTTTTTTGGTTATTGAGACTTTTTTTGGCAACCCCAATACGCAATTCATTTTGAAAATATTGTAATTATCTACAAGAAAAAATATAAAAACAAAATCGAACAACTTATTATATCACATGGTTTATATGACAATTTATAGAGTTAATAAGAGGATTAATTGAATAATATATTAAAAATATTTGAAAATATTGTAGAAAAATACAAAAGTTGGTGTTTTTTTGGATCTATTTAATAAGTTTGGTAATATAATATATTCATGTTAATTTAAAATGATTGTATATTTTATAGTGTGTTGGGTTCACAATTTATGTAAATAAATCAGAAAAGATTTTGTAGAAATTTGGTAAAAAATATATGTGAATATTGCAATTTTTTCACCTTGTCTACCCATTTGTTAATGCCGTAGACTCGCGCTGAAGTCAAAACTACTTTTGTTGAACTCAAAATTGTTCACGATTTATAATCTATAGATATATAGATATATTTTAATAATATATGTTTGTTCTTATCATTAATAACTTATCATATATATATATATATATATATATATATAGAGAGAGAGCGAGAGAGAGAGAGAAGGGATCATATAAGAAAGATGGATCATGAAAGAAATAAAATGATTCTGGATCATTGGATCCAACATATTAATGGTCATGATCAAGTCAAAATATGGTCAATCATTAATGGCAATATGGTAATTTAACATATTTTGTGGTCAAATATACATATTTGACCACTAATTAAGGGTGAAATTGTCATTACACAAACCACACACCAAACATGTCAATGCCAACTCATAGTGGGTCCCACCCCCATTAATCTAACCTAATCACACTTTCTCTCTCTCACACAGACACCCAAACACACACTTAACACGCAGAGGGGCACGCACACACACACTTTGCATCCAATATCCGGCCGCCGTCCGCCACCCCGCCGCCTGTCGGCGCAAGCTTCCCGCCGCCGTCTGCAATATGACCCGTTCCTCCATGTCGTCGGAGACTCGCTAACCAAGGTGGAGTTTCTAAAACTCCGGCGAGAATCAACCGGAGAAGACATCCAAGCCATACGTCACTGCTCACGGCCACCAAAATACGCCACGAGCCACCGCTCCGGACGCCGCCGAGATGGCCACTGAGTGTCGTGTATCTCCATCTGTTAGTGTTATATATTGAAAGCTTGGCTTTGCATGTTATTACACATTTACCCTTTATGAATGAGAATCATGTTGGATTAAACAAGTTCTACGTTCTGTTGTTCTGCACTTAGATAGGGTGGGTCGTCATCGGGCGAACCGAAGATCACCCTATCAGTCACTTGCGAACAAGAATAGTTGTTTACAATATAGATGGATATGAACACCCCATCCGAACGGTTGTAGTGTCAACTATACAGTTTGTCTTGACTGATTAGTTGCACTAGTACATTTATGTATTGAACAAGATCCCAGAGAGGAGAAGTTCATTTTATACTAATCGTCGTAAATGAACTAGGCCTCGGTTAATTACTGCGTTCTCTTATCCCGTAAGATATTAAACAGGCAGATATAATATATATTACTTTGATTCACATGGGTGAGGTTCAGTTCGCTGGATTAATATTCCTACTGTTTTGGGTAATATTATTATATATAGGATGTGCTGTTAGGATATTTACGGTCACCATGTGCGTTAGTTTGATGATGTCCCTGGAGTGAGTTCATGAAAGATTGTTATGCTAAACCCTGCAGGTGGATTAAGTTCCAGCATAATAAGAATTTAATGAACGAGCGCTAGCTTCGGTGAAATAATAATAAATTAATTAATTCTTGATTGTCAGTAATCAAATTAATTAATGGACATTATATCTTAAACGTGGGGAGGTAAATCGAGTAATTATTATTGGAGTCTCAAATGTAATTTGGGCTAGGAAAAAGGAGTGTAATAATATAATGTTGGTGGCCCATTAATATTATTTAATTAATTAGAGGAGTAGGCTTGGCCCACAGTTAGTCTAATTAATTAAGGAGCCATTTACCTAATCTCCTAAGGGTCCCTACTGTAGCTCTATATATACATCATTAAGCTCATGAGAAGAGAATCTCAATCTCATTCTAACGAGACACGCCTCACGACCTCTCTCTCTCTCTCTAGATCTCATTCGAGCTTTATCTTCTTCTTGTTGTTCCACTGGTACAAGTAGAAGAAGGCTGCATTGAGTAATACAGTAGAAGATCTGTAGGTAAACCGAGACGAAATATATTTTGACCTACAAAACTAACCGGAAGTCCGATTGAGACGTACAGCATACCCAGACGACCATCTCGACGAGAGCTTTCCATCGCCTCTGAGATCGCAGCCGTCCGATGCCTTACGCGCCCTCACGCGCCGCCGGAAGCTCCCAGGCTGCAAAGTTTCGTTTTGATCTGTTTGCATCTGTTTGATCCGATTTTGATCTGATCTTGTTCCTGCAACTCAAGACGTGATTTGCGGTCAATCAATTGCGGTCAACCGTTCGTGGTCAACCAGATCTACATAAATTTTAAGCCGTAAGTTCTCTACGTCAAACCTTTAGATCCGCTGCGCATAGGTTTATGTTTGCTATTGAATTCGTGACTTGTACATAACGAGATCCTCATAGATCCCAACAAGTGGTATCAGAGAACTTGGTTAATTCGTTTTGTCCAAAGTTTGAATATTTACGGCTTTATTTGACAAGATGTGTTCAAACGCAGCCATATATTGGATTATATTTGCATAACTCGGTTTTGCAGAATAAATAGTTAATCCACTATTATGCCCGATTATATGTTTGATGAATGTTGTTGAATATGATGTACGGTTTTAAATTTGTTTTTATAGCCTCGAGCATGTTGAGGAATTTATGGATGAATGTTTGTAATAATTATTCGCCCGGGGGTTGACCGGATAAATTTAATTATTTGTTTAGAAAACATGTACATCCATTCGTTGGATCTAGGATAGAATTATGTAATTTTGTAAATTATATTTTTCGTGTTGTGATCGTGTGTTGATGACCGGGAGATCACAAGAGATCAACGAGCCTCGAAGAATAAAAAAAAATTGGTTTTCCGACCACCGGCGGCCGGCGGCCGGGCGTTGGCCAGAGGCGGCGGTCGCGGACGGCTTGCAGGAAGGTGGAGAGGTTTTGCCTTGATGTCCAAGCTGTTAGAGTAGGATACCCGGCGTTCCAATCAGATTGGACGTATTCTACTTCTAAATACAATCTATTGGAATTATATTAATTAAAAGGCATTACTTTATTTTAAGAGTAAGCATTTATCCTATATTTGCACTTAAGAT